AAATATGAAAATATGCTTCATAATGCAACTAATATTCATATTTTTACCTTTAAAACCATCATGGAAAATATATATATTTAAAAAAAACAAATGTAATATGTACACTACCAAAATCAACTATTTTCACTGGTGAAGTATAATACAACATGATAAACATTTCATATGTAGAAATATTTAGGTTCTATTATTTTACATAAGAAATTTATCCTTATTAAAATATTAAGTCATTTTAATTCACTCAACACATTCAATGAACACATACTATGTTCTAAGCATTATTTTTGGAGGTTAGGATACAGAAGTGAAAATGGCAGACAAAACCACTAACATCATAATAATAACGATATTAATAACAGCAGGTAGCATATTGCTACTATGTACATGAAACTGATTTAAGTGCTTTTCATATATTAAACCATTTAATCTTTATGACAATAATCTTATGAGGTAACTGAGTGTAACAGTCAATTTTATATGTCAACTTGACTAGGCCACAGATATCCAGATATCTGGTTAAACATTATTTCTGGGTGTGTCTGTGAGGGTTTTCTGGAAGACTTTAGTTTTTGAATTTTTGAATTGAGGAAAGCAGAAGACCCTCCCCAACGTGTGTGAACATTATTCAATCCATTGAGGGCCTGAAAAGAACAACAGGCTGGAGGAAAGTTGAATTCTCTCTTTACCTGACTGCTTGAGCTGGCTCTCAAGCCTTCAGATCCAGACTGGAATCTATACTATAAGCTCTCCACCTCTCAGAACTTGGAATTACACCACCAGCTGTCCTGGGTTTCCAGCTTGCAGACAGCAGACTATAGGACTTTACAGACTCCAGAATTGCATTAGCCAATTGCTTAAACAAATCTCATTCTAGATATATCTCCTATTGGTTCTGTTTCTCTAGAGAACCCTGCCTGATACACTAAGACAGAGAGGACTGAAGACCAGTCTGTCTAGTGACAGAGTCTATGGTCTAAGGAGTAAACCAATAATAAAGCAAGGCAATTTCAGCTAATTAATGCAATAAAGTTTATAAAAAGGGGTAACAAAATAGAAACTGTTAGGTCCAAAAAAAGTATGTCAAGGCAACTACTTTAGTTTGCTTGGTAAGGAAAAGATCTTTACTGAGGAGATGATATTTGAGCCAACTGCTGAAGATCTGAAGAAAGAGCTGTAGGTATCAATAAGGAGGGATAGTGATATATAAGAAGAATAGAAAGAAGACATGTGGAGCCACAATTTGAGAGAACAGAGAGTCTTAATGAGAGACAGTCAGAGAGCTGCCAGAGCCAGATAATATGGATTATGGTAACAGGTTATGGTAAAAGTCTGAATTTCATTCTA